TTATTCAATGCTATTAGCAGTATAAATTTCGTTCCTAATATGTTTATATATTTATATTAGGACTACAAGAAGTTTTCATGAAGTCAAACAGTCAGTCATCAGTAAGGCATACTGATCTAGAAAGTCTAGGACAGTCGTCGAAAGATTATAAAAACACATTATCTTTCATTCTCCTGCACTATATCATAAACCCATTATCTTTACACTTTTTTCATGATATCCTATCGTAGGAAAATGATGTGTGGGACAAAAAGAATTTGAAACGAAATGAGACTAAATAGCTCCAGTTGTCGAACAAATAGGTTGAACAGTTTTCATATTTTCTTTTAACAACAAGTGACTAGCTTCAAGTAGAAATAATCAATTTCTACTGAGAAGGCGTGACCAGTGTATATTAATAGCATTATATCACAAATCAATTAAAGTCGGGAATTCGAGTAACTTTTTCCTAATGTACTTATACTACTAATTCTGCATACGGCATATAAGCGATGTTATTTAATGGAATATATCTTTTTATAACATTTACATGAAGAAATCATTCTCTGCAATTACTTTTAAGTTCATTTAAGCTATATTTGTTTTATAAACTGATACCTTACTTTGTTTCATCATGGCACCATTAACATCATGAATGATTTTTATGATAGTTTGGCAGGCATACGTAATAGTACGACTTTAATATGAAGGTCAACACAGAAAACTAAGTAATTATTGGTTGGTTAACCAATGACCTTCACCTAAAATGTAAGTTTAGTTAAACAATTTCTACTCATATATACATTATTTGACACATTTAGACTAATATGATTTATCCCACAACAGAATAATAAGTCAATAACTGTTCTTATTATTCTCAGACAATAAGAGATAACACGCTTATTGAATGTTAATTTATAAATTAAAAAGAACAGTTCAAACAACTTGTCAACAGAACTAAACTATAACTAATGCTTCGTGTGTGTTCAATAGTGACACGTAAACTGAAAGAGGAATCACTTCATGAATGTGAACACTTACGCGGAACAAGATGCATTAAAACTTACTTTCCTAAGTAAATTCATGAGGACTTTCCAGAGTATTAAAGCAAATAAATCACATTATTAAAACTACTTTATCAAAAGGGATCAGGTTCTAAATTTTAAGGAATGATTAATTTAAAAGGACTGGAGTAGTGTTTGAAAATGAAGATTCGAATTCTATTGTTCTGATTACGACCTAACACAATATTCATTTCCATTAGAAAATCTATTTGATAAACTTTATTTACATATATTCCTTTCTCTTCGATATGATTCACTCATTTTGTCCTTAAACATTTCAACAATTCTGTTACTATCTCTATACAAAGACATTCAGTTTAGTTATTAATTTATAGATCATATTTGTCATGGATTGATTAGGTGCGTATATTATTTAAAACCATGAATCATTAAATAGTTGTTTTGTCTTAGTATAGGACTCCTCAGCGGTGTGTGAATGTGATCACTTCAAGGACGAAAAACTCATGGTCGTTTTGACCTTTTTTTGTTTTTATCAGAGCGGTTTAGTTTTGTAAATTGATAAAAAACATGTATCAAAGATTGTTGTCTTAGTAACAATTTTTAATTACGTATGTCTGTACAAAAATAGACCAGTGTGTTTCATAACATAAATAATAAGTATTTTTGAAAATAGGAAAAACACGTACTTTCAGCTGACTAGAATTCACCTTAAAAGTAACTGTTTTCCTATAAACCTTGACTACAATATATATACTTATATTTATGGTTAAGTTGTGAGTAATTTCACTTAAATTTTCTGCATGACTATATGAGAAAGAAAACAAGGAATATAAGTGAACATTCATATACCTAAAGATATGGAGAGAAGAAAAAAACTGAAAAGACCTTTAAACCCTTTATATATTAATAGAAGATAATTATTCATCTACTAAGTAGATATTTATGTACTCTATTTTGAGCTAATCAATTGCCGAAATTAAAAGTGGTGAAGTGGAGTTCCGAATTGTTGACATGCTACTATTAATGAATGAAAATCGAGTGTCACATAATCCAGTAAGTAATTGTATCAACATGAATGGGATTGAGAACAATTGTAGATACTTGTGACGAGATCATTTATAACGTGTTTTATCATCTAAATTGAATGATTTCGGTAACATAATAAACAAACAGATCGGATAATTCAAACTAGTCAGAATACTATCGAGAAAAACAAGAGAATTGATTAAATTCATATGAAGTTGTTCTATAATGGAGATGATAGTAGTTTTCATTGATGAATCAGATTAATACCAATAATGTATATGTCATTAGTTCCTAGAAATATAAATCGTTTCTTAACTAAATTACATATACTTATTTGATAGGCTCAAAGTATTGGATTCATATTTTGTTACATAACTAATATCAGTATGAGGGTTGTGGAGATTGTTAAGATTTTGGTTGAAATCATGAATCAATTGATGTTAGACCACCGTTGGAAACCTGGAAGCACTGGACGGCCGTTTCTCGGAGTTCTAGTGAGAAGTCGTGACCTGTGGAGCTAATCCGTGTCGGGTAGAGACAGGTATCTACCTCAGTACAATGGAAGTTGGTCGCGCAATTTCGTGGATTGGTTGATGTTAGACACTAACACCATTGGATGCCGGCTCAGTGGTCTAATGGTTAAGTGCTCAGGCGCGAAGCCAGTAGGTCCTGGGTTCGAATCCCGCTCGCGGGATCGTGGATGCGCACTGCTGAGGAGTCCCATACTAGGACGAAACGGCCGTCCAGTGCTTCCAGGTTTCCAACGGTGGTCTAACATCAATTGATTCATGATTTCAACCAAAAACATAACTAATAGTTTATTAAATCTTATCAATTGATTCAATCGGTTACAAGTTATATTAGTGAATATCAATTGAACAAATATAAAACTTAATTTATTTCCATGTGAACTCAACTAAAAACACTCAATCTGTTCACATTAATATTCAATATATGGAACAGGTTTTGTTTTTTTTTTCTTCTTTTTTTTTTTAAAAGAAAAAGCCTAAACTATTTCTATTTTCAATATCTATCTAAATTATGAATTAGAAAATCCTTTTAATTTAATTAAAAAAAAATTATTACTGAATATGAATAATAATGGTTGTTATGTTTTCATTGTTATATGAAATGAGAATAGAATAATTGTGTAATTGTTTATTGTCATTGTTTTATATCATCTTATTGTTTATATAAAGAATATAAAATGAAAGGGAATAAAGGAAAAAGGAAAACAAACGAGAAGATTAACAATTGCAAAAAAAGAAGAGAAAAGAAAAGAGAAGAAAAAAGACAGTCAAAATAGAGACCATGACAGAAATGATCATGAATACATATCTGTGTTATATCTAAAATGGGCAAACTTAATCAGTCTTTTATTATAGTACAGAGTAAATTACAAATACAAATATATATAGATATTCATCTTACAGAATTGAACAGTAAACCAAACTATATTGATAGATGATTAATTGTAATCTGTATACAGAAAATACCATATATATATATATATATATAATATAATATATATAAACCGGTTAAGCTTTATCATTGTGCACGAACGTTATCATAATATGCATAAAGGTTTTGACAATCATAGCAATAACGCTGATGATGATGATGATGATGATGATGATATTAATGACAATTCTTTTAGTACAAATAAAAAGTGTATATATATAGTTTAGGTTTAGTCAGAAAAAACGGTAACTGTTCAACAATTGAATTAGGATTAACTTACTTTATAAGTTTAATAAGATTTTATTTGTTTTAAATAATAAAAGACAAAAATGATGTGAAATAATTTGCAAAAAGAAAAGCCTGTAAAAAATAATTATATATATATATATATATATATATATATATATATATATATATATATATATACATATATGGGTATAGGGATATAGGTATAATTGGATAGGTCATATATAATACCCATTTTGAAGTGATGACAATATGTGGAGAGGAGTGAAAAATAGATCAAAAAGAATCTACACAGTATTTAAAGTAAACACAAACAATAATTAATAATTTATACAAGTCAAGTTGAAAATCTAAGACAGAGAGAGAGAGAGATGAGAAAAATCTATGCGGAATTCTTTTGCTTGCCATAGTTGATGTTAAATGTAGATAGAACAAAAAAAGAGAGACAAAAGGAAATACCATCACGAATACCATCAACATCATCAATGTTGTTTATTATAGACAGTGGTAATAATAATACTTATGTTGATAACAGAACTGGATAGCTTTATACACAATTGTTCATCTGAAACACAAACATAGAACAACAACACAATATAGAAAAAATATATAAATAAATGGTAAGGGTATGTACGTAATAAAGCCAAAAAAACTTTCCAAATAAGTGATTAAATTTAACAATGGAAAAGCAACAGACACAAGTAGGTTTTATGATGGAAATCATACAGACGTTTAAAGAACACAGAATAAATAACCTCTTGAACCAGATGAATAAGAGGAAAGGGGTAACTCATACATAAACAAGGAATATATATATATGGTTTAATGTAGGGGAGAAAGTGGGAAAAGAAAGACACAGGCGCTTAACAAATATTAGTGCATACACAAGAGATCACACAATCATAAAGAATAGTTAAGGGTAAGTTTTTCATATACAACAACATAGTTCAATGGTAGTAATGAACTGTCCTAAAAGTTTAAAGGGAGACAAAGTAGAAGAATAAGGAAATAAAAATGTGAATAATAACATTCAATTCTTTTCTTTCAAGCTATTATTGAGAACTAGTGGTGATGATAATAGATTTTTCTTTCAAGTACATCTGTATAACTGTGGGTTATGGGATAGTATAATGCGTTGCATCACTCAATATTAGTCGAGGGGTAACTTAATATTATGATAGATGTAGATGTATTTGTCATTTTAAAGACTATTACTTTTCTATTAATTTTACCCTTGGTATATCTTGCTTGATTGTAAAGGAAATTTATTATGATTGATGAAGTGATATATGTAATGCATGAAAGGCATGATATGGTAGGTAGGTAGGTATGCAAGTAGGTTAGAACAATAACAATGACAACAATGACGAGAGAAAAACAAAGGAGAATAAAATAACAGTGCGAATAATATTTGTAATAATAATAATAAGTAGTAATAATTACAATAATACTTCGATTATTATATACCACCGCCGCTCGCCGATCTATTCTCCTCGAGGACAAAGCTCAAACGGATTGGAACGCCCCTACTCTCCATCACCGTCAATCACATATATGTCACTTACTCTTTATTAACATCTGTATCTGGTAAAATAAGTGAATGGGAATCACAAATCACAGAATTTTTGATGCTGCCATTATTATGATGCTGACGATTAAGATTTCCAGTTGGAGAATGTGACGACGGAATACCACCAGTGCCGCCACAGTTATTACTACTACTATTACTATTCAACAAAGGACGAGCACGAACGCGGTAAAATATAAAGTTTTTCGGCAAGTTGAATCGATTATTTGCCTGGACACAAAAGAAAAACGGAAAAAAATAGATTAATGAAATATTAGTTAAATGTTAAGTGGTTAGAGATAGCTAGTTGACAGGAAACAGTTGATCTACGCTTCATGCTACTTGAGGTTTGTGATCTTTAGAGCACTGATGCCTACTGATGCATTCAATTATATCATTCAGTCTAAGTTGTGTCTCAGTGAGTTGGGTAAGTATTAATTACTTTAAGACTTCAGTTACAGCTTGCTGGTGAGTACCAAATAATAAGAAACTTAAATTCAGTGTTTTCTGTCGATTACCATCAACCACCAGATTACATTTCAACATTGTGCACACGATGTCGAGTCACTTAGACCAGTGGTTAGATTGCGACTTCATCGATAGAATCCGACTAGCACCATACGAACTAAATAAATACATTGATCACTCTATTCAATGATCAATCAATTGTACTGAAATCATATAAGCATACATGATTTATGAAACCAAACCTTCTCATATTGTCAGTTCAATCGAGTCATTTAATTACGGAGTCCAATCGTAACTAGTTCGCCTTTTGATATTTCGATAAATGACCTTACTCTTTTTTGACGAATAACTAAATAACCGTGAAAGATAACGAATGGAACTTCTAATTTCTATTGGTTCATTTGGCTCTTCCTAACCCTAGTAATCAATCAGAACACGAAGGCAGTAAGCGGATTAAGTTTCTATTATTCTAACTCCAAAACTCACATTAGTTACATAACCACAATCCACTACAAACTGTACATTACTTAGTCATATGTGATACAAAACTGAACAATAGGCCCGTAATTAAATAACTATAAATAAGGAACAATAAAACATCTAACAACTCAACGAATCAAAATGAAAGCTTACGATAAGAACAATATAAAAATATCATATTCTAGATATTTGATAACTCGACAACAAGAACAGATATAATAATTCTCTGTAAAATAAAATCTATTCCTCTACAAAACCAATCTAACATACATATGATCAGTCCGGTAAATACCCGAACCAAGTAACTACATCAGTTGGTGGAACGTAAAAAACTATATCAGGAAATACATAAATATTTAGGACAGTTTATGAACAAAATTAATTAGAACGTGTGCAATCTAATGTACAAGATGTATGACGTATGACTTCCATACTACAACGATGAGCTTAAATATCCAACAATGGTTATCAAGCAGTTCTATGATTATAATTAGATTACTACACTAAACCTTCCACTTTTCTAATGATCAAACTTAGCCCCTCTTCCAGTTTGCTCCTGAAATGCAAAATAGCCGTATAGAAGAGAAAACGGAACAATGTGAAGATGATAAGACGTGAAACGATGAGACAGCTGGAGGGCGTAACCTCCGAGAACCGCAACCGATGTTTTAAGCAATCGAAACGGAGATTAAACAAGTTTACTGTCACCAATTGGGGCTAATGTTGATGTACACAAAAACGAAACACAACTCGAAACGACATTAGGATGATAATTGAAAGTTAAAAGAAAACTTGAGCTAAGTCGAAATATGAACTAACAACCATAACATTATTGACTAGGATTTATACCAATTAATTTCTAACTACAAGGCAACTTGAATCAATAATAATCACATATCTCCATCTCTTTTTCGATGAATGTGAATAAACCTACCTATCCGGTTCACTGTATGTTGTATAGTATTTGTGAGTTATACTACAGACTGTTGACTATTTTCTTCCATTATACAAAATATGGCTGAAGATACAATACCTATGTTTCTTTGAATTAAAAATGAATCGTCAGACAGGTATATTTCGTTTGATTATCTGAAGTAGCGTAAGTTCCAGTCAAACAGTTAGTCTGATAATCATGTCTATGGTGGGACAGTTGCCCCAATCTCTACCAAAGCAGATTAACGTCAATGAATGCAAACACGATTCTAAGCTTTAGCTCAGTATAGTACCTTCAGGAATCCTGATAATTTCAAAAACAATCAAATGAATTAAAGGCATCACAAATATAAAAATGTGTTAGTACTGTAATTTGTCTTGTTTGCAATCGATATTAAATTGAATGGAAATCAAAGAAATACTAGATATGTATAAAGAGCAAAATAAACAACAGATCGATATGTTCCCAGTTTTGTTTTATACTATATATATATATGTCCGTCAAACATAAACTCAACCAACAAGTACAATGACTGTGTTTAGGTGAAGTTGGATTTTGGTAGAAAAAAAGAAAAGAAACAAAACAACACTCATGAGGATACACAATCATCAGATAGGTCTATCAATGGATGGATAAACAGATAGATAAACTTACTCGTTTAGATAAACAACGTTCTTTACTTTTGTATCTGGCTGCGACAAAATAATTATGTGCCTGAAACGCTTCTTTAAACGACACATTCCTATTGTGAGATGAATCTGTTAACACAAAACATAATACAAGAGAAAAATGTGAAAATACAATTTGGACATTTGTCAAACAACCTACATGTAATATCTGCAAAATAGACTAAATTAGAGCATTAAACTCGTATTTAAATTTGTAACAGATAAGGGCTAGTAGTGATCTAGATAAGCTTTACTACGTTAGACAATTGGAGATAACCAATAGGAAACTCTGGACTTAGGTTATGTTAGTTGACACTTGCTAGCAAGACATACATGTAATGTTGAGGGAACTAATGTGTCCTGATGAATTCGAACATAGGCGCTATTGCCGACGTGTATTTATGATGTAAGTGAATATATTTATTGATTAAAATGAAAGTGATGCATGTCTACTGACTAAATCATCTACAACACAAAACATCATAACCATAAACGTTACCATAAAGAAACGACAGTTACATGAATAGATTTCCATGTCTAGCAAACACTATTTACAATGCGGAAAGTGATCGACACTCATATAATTCAATTTCAATATGACCAACAGTGATAAACAAGAAAACCTAGAGTAAACAATGATATCTCAACAAAAACATAACGTCAGGATAGTCAAAAGCACCGGCGTATATACATGTAATTTCAAACTCCACTAAACATTTGAGTAGTATAGTATTAGTTCTCATATAAAGAGGAGTGATGCTAAACTGATAACTCACACTTGTTAAAAATCATAATAACTTGCTTATAGAGTAGAAAACAATTCTGAATAGTTTTAAGTATCCAGTTGATAAAATAAGTTTGAATTATTGCTCAATATCCATTTATAGTCATTGATTAACAAAACAATAAACGGTTACAGAATGAAACGATTTCAAATCTTTTTCAAAGTTTGAACAACGAATCTCTAGCAAGTAAAAACAATCATGACTTGATTTCATTGAATCACTTCAAAAATGACTTGAGTGGTTAGTATAAATGATTAGCGACAACAACGTCTGATTAAGTTGTTACTTCTAAGTTCACGAACTAGATTTTTCTAATATGCGAAAACCAGGTTCGAAACCTGTCCTACGCATTTAATGTTTTAGAGACGGTATGGTGCCGTCAGTCTTTATACAAACGGAAAGGAATCATGAATCAGTATATAAAATTATTGAATTACCTAATTATTTAAAATGTCAATGAAAATGGAAAACATCTTTGCATTCATGGTTCCTGAAAGCCCAATACCAATAATACTCTAGTGTTTGTCAAATAGTAACATGTAAATCTTAAGTCGAATTGAGAAAAGAAAACTGAAATTTCACCGATATCTTTAGAATTTATGATTTCCACTGACTTTTCAGATAGTAACATATCAAACAACACTTACAAAGTGTTAATAACCATTAATTCGAAAAGAAAGGTCTTTAATCCCATATATATCAGTCAGAAGGTGGCATTTATTCATAAAACTGTTTATAATGAAAATTACAATGAGTAAAACAGTTTCAATATGACTACTGAACATTTACATTTTCTATTGCAGTAAATGAAAGTCAAGAGTTAGTAGTCGAGATATTCATATATCTATATATATATACTTACTTGTTTCCTGTACATTAGAGCTCATAGGCTTACAATAATCAATATGATCGTCAATATTCAATGCCTTAAAATCATCTTGATGTAAAAAGTAGACATGTCCGTCCGAAGATAACATACGCCATTGAACATAAGTGACAGTTGATGTGGACGTTGTGAAAGATGATTCAGTTGTTGTTGTTGTTGTATCGACACTAGTGCTACTACAACCAGACTTAGTAGTAGGAGTAGTAGTTGAAGGTAAAAGTGTACCATAATTACCGCCAAATGTACTTGTACATAATTCATTAGCTAATGTACTATTACTGTGAATACTACTACTGTTGATTAAAGCACAAATGTTTTTAGGCGTAGATAAGATACTACTACTATTCATTAAGGTATTATTGTCACTTGTGTTTGTAGTAGTGACAGATGTAATAGTGTCGGTAGTGTTAGTATCAGAACTTCCTACTACAACTCCTCCTTCTGTTAACGAATCCATAAATATTGATGAAAATGGTAACGATGATTGAACAATCATTGACGATAATAAACTAGATGATGGTGAAATAGCATCTAAGAGATTCGAAGCGAATTTACTATTCATTGACCAAATGTCAGATTTAGTTATCATTGTTGAATCATGAACATTAGTATTACTATTACTACTAATAGTAGTAGCAGCAACAGTACCATCATCTGGTTTTACAACATTATGACAATTTTGTGATAGAATACAGCTTATAGTAGAAGTCGTTGTTGCTGTGACAGAAGTGATGGTAGTGGTTGCAGTTGGAGAAGTGTTTAATGTTGATGATGAAATACTTGGTCTAGTTCCTGGAACAGGAACGAATATTACAATATCATCTGGCAAAAAGCTATGTATAAAAAGGAGTAAAAAATGAAAATAAATAAAAATGAGATATAAGTAAAACGATATATGCATATATAATTGAGTTAGTTCAAACAACTGATACATATGTGCCAAATTACCGGTTTATCTGATTACGTCAATTGAACTAACTTCTGCAAATCAACAAAGTCCGAATATGGCATGCATTATAGGTGGAATTCTCAACTTCATATCAAAAGGTGAGTACACCCATACAACAGTGAGTGTTATATTACTTTTAGGTTCCGAAACACCAATGCATAAGAGTCTAAAATAAACATAAGATTGAAGTTACTTGATAATAAATATGTTTTAAAGCACCATTCATGATGTATGGTGGGATTAGTAATTGTGAAGTTGGAGACAATGGGCTGGTTGAGTATAGGTATATCACGTGAGTGCACTCACAATCCATCTCAAGGTCAGGCGGTAGGTGAGAGAATATAAACGAGACATTATGAGAGGAATTCTATTGTGAACCTACTTAAGATATCAGTTAACACATCTATGTTTGGGTCAGAACGACGATTGTATATAGGTACATATGATTAATACAAACTATAATTCGGTTTTCTAATTAAAGCCTCCTAAACATTACTCTGTATTCTCACTGTCATCGATACTTTAATAAGCGTATACGAAGCGTGTTTATCTGTGGTTGAATCGGGCATCATGGACTGTAAGAGGATAGTGTTAAATAGAAATAATAAATCGTTTGATAAGATTTCAGATCTTCAGCGAAAAAAAGCCACCAGTCAACGCTTATTCCATTGACACTTAAGGCTGGCTAGCATATTAGTAGTTTGAGCAGCTAAGCAAAAGTCGAATTAGCATATAACGTGACTTATTTTAAGGCTTAGGTGAAAAACTTTCGGATTTTCGCCCATAAGATAATGATAATCTGCAATCACCGGTCTTACGCTTTACTAGTTTCATTTCCTTTGAATATGATCTGTTGATCTTTCATCATTTCTAGATTTCATTCTTTCATTGATTGTATATCGATCGAAACAATTACCATTTTAATGTCTTTAATTATTGTTACTAATTTTCTCGAGTTTCCCTCCTCCCATCTCGTTTCGCTCACGTTGTACATTTAAAGTATTCATTCAAGCTGCAATAGTACTATAAACATCAATTCATGGTATATATGTATATATATAGTGTAGATAGCAGAACAACAAATCAGATGAAGAGCACAAAAACAATAAAAGTTAAGGAGCAGGAAAGGGTGTTTAAAATGAAATATTTGTTGGAAACTACACTTTCACAACAAGTACTTATTCACTGATCCACTAAATGATTGGAACTGCTGGGATACAATGATATACTGTTAACATTAAAAACGTCACATATTCAATCAATATGTAGTACAGAATATTTTCCAAAAAACAAAATAATAATAAAAGAAAATCAACAACTCACTTAGTATGTACAAAACTAGTAAAACGATCATTAGTTAATTTTGATGAAATATTAGTGAAGCAAGAAGATCCAGTTGTAAGATTACAAGTCTGTTCATTGTTGTGATTTAGTTGTTGTAATATTGGCGAAGTAGAACGAGAAATAGTTGACAATGGATAATTATAATTATTATTAATAGTAGTAGTAGTAGCAGCACTCATCAATGAAGAAGTTAGATTCGTTGAAACTTCCTAGATTTTTTATTCAATAGAATTAAAAACATAACATAATAATTAAACAGTTTACTATTATTATTACTAATCAATACTAGACAGGAAACTAATAAACAAGAGTGTGTGTGAATGAATGAATGAATAAAGAATTTCTATTATTTAGTGTCGAGATCATCATTAATAATCTCTCTGAATCCAGGCAATCATAAAAGAAAAAAAAAGTGAGGGTTGGTAGTAATGAATGAGAATAAAGTGAAAGAATGCTTTGTAATCATAAAGACGAATACTTATGAAGTTAATCTATTCGTTTTGAATCTAGCAAATCTTTCAGTTGTTTTGAAAACTTCATAAATATTGGTCTATATGGACGGTGGCTCGCAGTGGAAGACGCACGTCTCATCCTATTTGGGACTCATCAGTTGGATGTAACTGAATTCCAGAGTTGATGTTCACTCCGGAACTCGATCCCAGCACCGTTAGCTTCAAACACAGGTTCATCCGGCTGACGAGTCCCAAATAAGACGAAACGTGTGTTCTGGATTTCATTGCTAGCCACCATTCATCTTTGCTTACAATGCTTGTGACTCAGGGCAACATCAACTCAATTCGCACAGGGTGTACATATGCTAATAAGAGACTGATCAGCTACAGTCCAAAACATCAATGGGAAAATTCAAATAAAAAAACAAAAATAAATTAGTGGTCTCTATGTTTTAATGTTTGCATATTTATTAATTTTAAGCGTCCTAGTAACTGATTGGTAACTAATTGCATGGAAATGTTCTCGTCCTCTTCCTTCTATTTATCAATAGGTACCGCGAATTTGTGAATTATTATCAATATCTACCATCACTCATTATATTAATTGTTTACTGGTAGAGAATCGTAATTACATAGTTTATATTTCCTGATACACATGCCTATTCGAATTTAATTCACGGGTTTAGATATGCTACCCATATTTTAAACACATAAATAGATAAACGTGACTCAGTGTGAATAAACAATTTTGCAGTAGCAAATCAGTTGTGCTTAATTCATTTTATAATTAATCTGTAGCTTTCTGATGTTTTAGATAACACATTGTTTGTGTTTACTTGTCAATGTGCGCTGTCTTCTGAGAGATATACTTAACTCCTAGTTGAATATGAAGTAAAGTACATAGTGTGCATACTTTTCTATCATCTAACTGAAAAATGTTATTATCTATCGATGATGGAAAGACGTATTTTTTGGATTTCTTGGATAACATAAACGAATAATGATGTCCAACCGCTTTAATGAGTAGAACCAATGATGGAACATCTTTTTAAAAACAGTATAAAATAGGTCGTTGATAAAAGAATCCTGCTAATATGCTACATATTAACAACAACTAAAATTCATTGAGGAACACCGATGAAATCAAAATGAACTAGGTTCCGAATTAAAACTCTTCGTCAGTGCGCACACCTATCAACAATTTTATGGCATTGAGTAATTTATAATTTCATGGTGAGTATTTAGAGCTTGACGGAAAACCATAAATTCTTATGTGTCAATTCAATAAGAAAGATTACGAGTGTTTATTAATCGATACTGTGGGGGAGACCAATCCATAATTACAGTGAAATAGCAATTTGATGCATCAAACTTAGTAGTCCATACAATGGTCCTCATTCGCTAGCTAATATCAATTCAGGATGTGAATTCCATTCGAATTTGATGAAGTTGATTGGGTAGCCGTTCTTTTCATCAAAAATTACCAACCAAACGCATCAGCAAAAATAAAATCACGTACGGAAAACAACAGACGGATCATCCCACCATTTATAAAGGGTATATAAGAAACTACAACAAAACTTTCAGTCTTTTGGAATATGTATAGCACGCAAACCAACAAAATCACTTTAATCAATCTTATGAGAACCAAAGAACGAAATTACAAAGGGAGAAAAATCAAACATCGTCTACAAAATAAATTGTTCCAACTGCGAAAAACACTACATCGGGCAAAGCCGACGCCCTCTTCACCTTCGCCTGCATGAACATCAATTAGCAGTCAAACACCATGACATATCCTCACTGATATCAATGCATGTGGACAACTATGGACACACATTCGACTGGGAAAGTGTTGAGATCTTGGATATAGGTAATTATAAAAAACACCAGAGAATTTTTAAAAACTTAACACTCAGGTCAATCAGTGATCAACAAACACATTGTATTCGATCCAACTTATCAACCAATCAGAAAAACTATGGACAAATATAGGACCAAAAATCAAATCAATTGGAGATACAACCAAAATAAAGAAGTAAACAATGACAAGTTTAAGGTCAGCAAGAACTAATCAACATCGAGGTCTACAGGAAAAACTGTGAACCATATGTGGAGTAGTTCGAACACTTCACTACTACCTGAAGTTTGTGTTGATGATGTCGCCCAGAATAACGATGAAAGTTCTACGACTAAACCATCCAGTTAAGAGAACAAAACTCCATCAAAGCCAGCGAAGATTCATTAAAAGTCAGTACTAAATATCAAACAACGGGATAGTCCGAACTCTCTTGAATGTTAATGTTTGCTGTTACACGGTTTGAATTTAGGGAGCAGAAATATACCGATACTGTCAGATGCATGACAGAATATCTGAATTATGTTATCAATTAATAACAGTTTTGATTATGAATATGTTGATCTCGAATGCTGTTCGAAGTGTGAAGGTGGTTACAACTTCCTGTTTGCCTAAACCTTAGCAGAAAAATACTTCTCTTTGTGATAACTCAGAAGGAAAATGGGTTAGTGGTAGTACAAACAAACATAGCATCTAAAAGAATAACTGTTTCAGACCGGTCAATATTCGTTCGTATGATCGGGAGCTTACTCCACAGGATAATATGGAGTGTGGTACTTTCAGGGTTAACATTTTCTAATCTCCTTCCGTTTTAGGAAGATATTATCGTTTCAGTTACTAGTTATTTGAGGGAAAAAAATATCCTACTATCATCAAACTTTTCTAAAACCAGCAGTACCGCTTTCCTCATGGACTATGAGCATGCTTAGCTTATATTTTTCCTATTCTCCTTGGTGGAACAATGAGAAGACAAATTTGATCTGAAAATGTGATGTATTCACGTCATACATTTCGAACAATCTGGTCACACATATCCTAATCAAGAAACATTATACATGAAAATTAATAAAAATTAATTAAATAAAAAAAACAGAACAGACATTAAATGATAATTGTAAATAAAGGAAAGAAAACAAATTCCTTGCATATGGGAAGAATAGGAAACTGCCGCACTACCCTAGGTCACAAAATAGCTTAAAGATTATCAGGACAAACGCTTTGACAAGTCTATGTGTGACCAGATTTTTTGAAACATATAGTGCAAATACATCAACTTCTTAGAATTGTTCTATAGAAATTTAAGAAAGGGATTAATTGCTTTAAATTCCTATTCTCTATTTTGTTCAAAGAAGTGAAGCATTGACCTATGGGTTTAACCATTCAACTATTTATTCATAGATTCGAACCTTGATCAACTTTTCAGTTTGGAGAGTCATTTAGTAGTAGTAGCGTTAACTATTATAATTAAAATGATTTTGAATCTGTAACTTAAAGGTCGAAAGTGAAATATTTCTAGTAGTGTAGAATTGGAACACTTAATCAGCTCACGATGGTTATTGTTAACACAGAATATATTGGAACATGGTCAACACAAAAGCTCAATGGGAATGTCGAATATGTGAAAAATGACGAGAAATCAGTAACAGAAAATCTATAAAAAGAGGAAACTTACACAGATTGGCGATATTCTACCTTCAAAATCAGAACCTATGAAAAGTATATGAAATAATAACGAAAAATGATAACACATAAACGCACGCAACAGTAACAACTGATGACGCAATGATTTAAAGCATCAGGAAATAAAAACACAAGCGAGTAAACATAAAGTATACTAAACACCACGAATTAATCTTAGTTATACAACCAGTAAAAACAAGGAAATATTAGAGACCTATTTCCTCCTAGTATGGGACTCCTTGGCAGTATGTATCTATAACTCTATTACAGGAAATATAACCAAAAAACTTCGTTCTCGACAGTGCATTGTTGAGTTTAAAGTTAGTTCATACATGTTGCAACAAATAATTTTAACCCTATTAACTTTACGTCTAATATTACTAGTTCTCTTGTTTTTTTTTATTAGCTTCACAATCATTTTACAATCGTTTAAGTGTTAATACAAAACGTTTTAGAATACATATATAAATACACACATGTAAAAACTAAACATTCGTATAGTTAAGCTGATTTCAGCAGGATAGCTTTCATATCACACCATAACAAGAGAGTTCAGATCAATCCTATGACTCTATTCTAAACTGGATACAGTGGATCTGGGTTTCAGTGCTAGTTGGGACTCGTGTCTGAAGTCTTGAAGGAACTGTTACTCCCAAGATGGGTTCGAGTTTATGTACATACATATGCGATAATAAAACTGGTGGAGTATTAAGCCAAAGAGAAGAAAATCGTAACACTTGCCATATAAGGGGCTCTATAACCAATGTACAGTTCTATCATATATATAAAGAGAAGACTAAGAACAGTGGATTGAAATAGATCAAATGGCTTATTCATTTATTTAATTTAAGAATAAAATGAATAGACAGATTGCATCAAATTAACCTGAAAACATAACTTGCTAACTTAATAATGAAATATACTAATAAGTAAAACATTAAGTAGTCTAGGCTGAAAATCCTAGATGGATATCAAGTTATTAAGTTTTTCATGAATAAACGTTAATTTCATTAGTATAACGATAAAAACGAGTACATCTTTTCTAATGTTATACTTTTACATGACATTTGTTGCTCTCTCTCTCATTCTCTCTGATTAATTGTTAACATTAATAGTTTGATGATTTTCCGAAGTCTCACGATCATGCTTCGTTACTACTACAAAATATACAAAGTTATTATTTTTCAATTTTGAATTCTTGACTTTCGTAGTATTAAAACTTTTCCTACACTTCTGTACTTTTCATGGGTTTCATTATATTGACGATGATGTGTTCATTAGTGATTAACTTCAATAGGAAATTCTTGGAGTTCCAGTGAAAAGATGTGACAAGTAGAGTTCAACCGTGTAGTGTGAGACAGTTACCCGCTGAAGATAATGGAAGGTGGTTACACAATAACGTGGATTAAACGAAGTTAGACATTAACACCATTGTATGCCTGCTCAGTGATTTAAACATTAGGCGCTCGCAAGAGATCAAAGGTGCTGGGTCGTGGATGAGCACACCTTAAAGTTTCATACTACGACCACTCAGTGCTCCCTGATTTTCAATGTTTAATCTAACTTCGAACTGTCCGTGATCTCAATAAAATTCAACAATCGCTACAATCTTATACTGATAACAGTTGAGAGATTGTGTGGGTATGTGTATCGATGGCCGTACTATCGGGTAAATATAAAAAAGAAATTTCAATTGCTCATTGCTAGGAATGACTGTAAGCTCAACCGAATTCCATCGAATAGTAGAAACTACAAAGCATTACTTTTATAATAATTGGATTGCTGTTAGATAATACAAAGAAAACGAACCTTTAGTGAACATGTTATTGGGAATTGTTATTGATGTCGCCATATCCATGGTTGGAATTATTTCTGTCTGTGTTAAAATCGACTCATTACTAGTGATGATTGGAAATACTTGTGATGACAACGGTGATGTTGATGTAGATATGGAAACCGTGGTAACCGGATTAATATTGTTTAACTGTAAAGTTTCCATAAGATACTGTAGCGACTGCCCGAAATTCAATTCATCGGGTACTGCTATATCGTTCGTTGTATTATCACTCAATTGAATGCAATTAATACACTGGACGACGTAATGATATACCGAAAAAACAAATAAAATATTAGCCACACACAAAGAATCTATAAGAAAATATGCTTAAATTAAATTACATTTTTATTAACGTAAAAGGGTTTGTGGAAACTGCTTAATTTCATAGTTCCTATAACGAATCGACAAGAAGCGGCAATACTATGAAGAAATACCTGTCTATTGATACTTTGATTTTAATGGCCGTCTGACTAAGGTCAGTTCGTGACGTAAACTATAAAGTTGAATAACCACTACAAACCCTTCATAAAAATAATAATCATATGCACAGTAATGACTAATTTTGATGGATAATCCCATTCCAGAGTTCAAATGGCAGACCGTAGTACCACTACCACCAATGGGATTGAATCATATCAGGTATGTGGCAGTCAGTTATTGATCAATGACATTGGAAGATAGCCACTGTGTAACATTATGAATTTATCAAAATTAAAAATGAATACGACTGGATTTTCAACCAACGGTTTGAAGGTAAAGAACTAGTTATTATGAAGCCTGAACATCTTTGGGTTCCACCTTAGCTGAAGTGCTGAACACAAGTTGTTGTTCATTCCCACATTAGAACGAAATATTTGTCCAATCCTTTCAGATTTTCATGATGCAAATTATATCATGTGTTTGATAGATTAATTTTTTCCTTCATATAACTTCAATCACATTTCAATGATTGAAATGTCATATGATGATAATCACTATCGTGTACATCATTTTTAATGTTATCACACACATGAGCAATTCAATTAACAAAATAAATAATAATATTGTGTTTAATGGAAAGGAAAAATTTGATAGATCCGATGAATTAGATATCTCTATAATCTCTAGTTTCGACCAACAACAAAAAAGCAGAGAAAGAATGGAGCTAGTTCAAATAAGGGGAGAGGTGGATTGTCCAATACTTAGAATAAACTGAAAATTCCCTTATGTGGTGATGAACAATCAAAAGATACATTAATAATTCATATGTGATATGACCGCTTGAATCAGATGTTAGTTACCGTAAATAAAATAAAAAAGAATAGATTTTTTTGTAGTTAAGACACTATTATGATTCAAAGGATTGACAATTGTTAGTAATTTGTATATTGGTAATTAATACTACCCAACTAACTGAAATCGATTTAATGAAATAACTTAAATACAAATAGATAATTATCAGTATGGAGATTCGTGGAGATTCTATTATTTTCACAGTTGAATTCACGAGTGTGAGATAGTTCCCTATTCTCGATAAAGCATGAAGGGTTGTTTAAGATTACAGATCGATCAGAGTTGAAGCGAGACATAAAACACCGTTGTATGCCGGATCAATGGTCTAGACGCTAAGCGTTTGCGCGCGAAACCGAAGACCCTGGGTTCGAGTCACGAGTGTGGGGTCGTGGATGAGCATTACTGTGGAGTTCCATGCTAGAACGAAACAGCTGTCCAGTGCTCCCAAGTTTTCAACAAAGGTATAGCTTAGATCGACTCGTGAATCCAAATGTAACGAGAACATAAATAAATGAATGATCTGACATGGAACTGATTAGTAATATCGTTTATTGAAAGGAGTTACCTTAAATGTCTCCAGAACGTTTAGGTTGTTTTCTATAAATTTAGTGAGCAAGTAATGCAAAACTAAAGCGTAATTTTCATCAGAGAAATTTCGCTTCAAAACTTAATACTTTCAACAAATTTGTTTTCATTTTGTTTTAATCCGACTGCACTACATCAATGTATTGATAGCAGACAGTTGTATATGTTTCCAGACACAATAAAAGCCTTTAATAAATGTAACATTCTGATGTGCAAAACACACGGAAAAGTGGACGAAAGTGTAAGACAAAGCAAATGCATTGAACACTGAAAATATTGAAGATCACCTCAAACAACGATATCACAATTCACCAAAAGATGAATTGAGATTAACATTGGGAGGAAAGATTCACTTCATCCTACTTGAGACCCATCAAATGCATTTATCTGAATCTGTGTTAATATTCGAACCGGGACTCGATCAAAATACCTTCCATTAGAAAGGTTCATCAAAACCACCAAATAGTTGTACAACAGGTATGGTATCTTTACAAATCAAAATTCAGTAGGTACATCCACCTGATGAGCTTCAAATAGGATGAAACGCCAATCCTAACTATCACTGTTAACCATAATACATATATTCTAAAACCTCATGCGATAAAATGAATATATATCGAGGTAATCAACATATGATGTACATACTACTTTTACAAAGACTGATCAAAATTCAGTTGACAATAAGCTTTATACTTTGATTCATTAAAAATATATTCAATCAAAATATTACTCAATTTCAAAACTCTTAAACTAAATTACAGTGGAGGTTACGGAAATCAACTTTATAAATGGTCACTTAATGGACAATTTCAAGTGCATGCGAACTGAAACGTTTTTCCAATCATTCATCGTAATACAACTGGAAAGAATTGACCAGGACATCGTTCGATGGTGAATGCCGGTGGGCAGCCTATTCTCCTCCACGAGGGGCAACAGGCGTAAGTAATATAAGTTCTTGGCGTCTACAAGAGATCTATACAGAATCGCATGTTTGTTTTATAAATAATAGAACAATTACTAACGAAAGGATTATACTCAATTGTATAAATTGAAATACAGAAAGGAGATATAAACAAGTTGTAAAATAAAAGGGTAATAAAACGACAAACTGTTTCGTGTTATTAAAAATAACACTGAATCAGTGGATAAGTTGAGCTAATTCATATACATCTAATAAAAAAGAAAAACAATAAACAACTCACTTCTTTTACTGTTGAGTCGTTGTCAATTAAACTCTCAATAGTCTCTTGCCTGACTGTCGTAGATAAATCTGGTTGCGAAACATTTGAACAAGTATCATTACCATTTGATGATGTCGTTTTGCTTAGTTCCGTACAAACAGGATGAGATGATTGACATGATATGTGTTTGGATTTTAAAAATAATAATGAACATGATTCCAACACCTTTTATTATCACACATGAAGATGAGGACATGAGGGAAGACAACAAAGAAAACGAAAACATTCTTAGGAAAATAGAGATACTAAAAAAATCACTTTTTTTCATTAGTGACAGTCAAGTGATAAGAAGTTTACCTGTCGAGCAGTGGGAGGTCATGAATTTAGCTTTGCAAAAAGGTTAAGGCAGAGTATCCCATCAAAAAACATATCGCTACTTAATCGATAGAATTCGATCAAAAGCAATGTAATAAATGAAAACACAGGTGAGGACAATCAGTTTCATTGTCATACAAAATTACAGGGTATTTCGGAAACTTGAAGAGAAACGAAAAACAGGAAGAACAAAGAACACACTACGTAGGAAATTGGAAGCAAACATCTGAAGGATGAATAGTAAATGCAAAGAACTGGAAGGGATTGAACAGGACAGGGCTGGAAGAAGAGTGCTGGTGGGCAGTCTATGCTTCTCCACGAGGAGTAACAGGTGTAACTAAGTAATAAATTGAATACTTCATTTGCGAATTTCAATGATTTGTTCTTCACATTCTGTATGATTCTTCAAATTCACAATTCCTTCCTATTTTTTCTTTTATTCTCTTCAACTCGATCTTCTCAGCCTTCTGCTGCCAGGTTTTCCAGTTCCGACTGATGTTACATACTACTTATGTCAACAGACATAAGTAGCATACACCACAGTAGTACATGAAACATTAGTCTCATTACTTATTGATTAATCAATAATAGAAAGTTTCCTTTTTACGCTGTACAACTACGAAATAATAAACGTTTCATTCATTCGATTACACAATATCTTTTTTTCAAGTGAATTTCAGTATGAACAGACTGATCACTTGCTAGAAAACCATTGAAATCAGAGAATATTGAGAAGTTTGAACGCTCATCCCCTAGTCATCAACATATCCTAAAGCTTCACATGAGTCTCGCTAGATCTTCTACATTTTCTCTACTGGTTCAGTAATATCCACTTTCATTAATTTGCGAAAAAATTATGGATTGCATTTAATAAAATTAATATCTGAGAATCACCGTAAACTCGAAAACACTGGATAATAAGTGTCCGAACTAACAATCACGCGCCCAGGGGAGGTGACCTTGAATCTCTTTCAGTGATTGAATAAACAATGCAGTGATAATAAGTAAATACTAACTATCTATACTTTTTCTAAAAACAAATTATAGACTGATTATCCTATGAATCACACTAAGAAATGAAACCATATTCTGGTTATGACATTCTTAGTTGTGTTTATTTTTATTCAAATTTCTTCGTATATTGGTCAATAGTGAATCCAATTGAAATATGTTTTTAAATAATATTGATCGGAATCAAAAAGAGATCCTGGAGGTACCTGAAAAGGAAAATGGATTAGAGGTGGTCTTACTGACCTGAGAGCGTGAACGCAGTGTCCAAGGGACAACTGCTTCAGATCGGTCACACACCACCTTTTTATGGGTAATTTTTGTGTTAGCTCCGTACTTCTTGAGACTTTACCACAGGAGACGGACATCCGTGGGATAACGCAAGGTGTGCATTTTTAGGGTCGACCTTTTCTAATCCCAACCCTCCTTGTGAGAAGGCAGCATCGTTATCATGCTGGTTGTCTGAAACACCTTACTGCTGTCACACCTCTGTACAGTCAGCAGTACGACTTCGCCTTCAGACCTTGGGTTTGTCGCTTTTAGTCTTACCGCTCTTCAACCGACCTGTCTGACATGGTAGGACCTTGAGGAACGGTTGTTCCAGCCAGTATGGCTCGGTTACTTCATCACGATAGGCAAGCCCGACCACCACGTCACGGTAGAAACAATGGTCGGGTAAATGCAGATTACTTTGTTGGAGTTCACGTGACTATCGTAATCAAATAGTTGGAGACTCTTGGTGACATAGCCCAGAATCGATCACAATGGCGTCGGTGTATATACTCTCTGTCTTCCCTTAAACTAAGAGATTAAAATCTCTTCATATCTTTCTTTCTACGAACTAATTCTTTCTTCCTGTACTATATCTTTATATGCAATCTTTCTTTTATATATTACCACCTCTGAATTAACTTTTTTTAAGAATCCGATGTCCATCTTGTTGTGTTAATTATGTATGGCAACTTGGAGCTATGCATGTATGTGCCTGGTTCTACGTTGTAGCTGACTGACTGAAAAAGAGATCCAAATGAAATTCCTAGTCTTTAACCACTTACAATACATTTTTACTGAATGAATTCAAGTAAGGATGTTAAATAAATTCATAAACATTGAATATTTCAAGTTGATTTTTCAGAATTAACACATGAATATTCAAATTAAACAGTAAAGAGAAAAAAAACCAAACACAAAAATTTATTATCACATGAATTGTACATGTGATATAACACATACATAGAAAACAAAACAATCCATAAGAGTATTGAATTAAACAAAGTGCATCACAACGAATTACATTTCTCTATTACTAATGATTAATATGATAAGAAGACGAAGATTATCTAAATTATATCATATAATTATGCTGTACATCTCGAACAATCTAATCAGATATGTACTTGTTAACCTATCCCGATAGACATCATGATTTTCACATTGTTCTTGTGTATCTTTGGTTCTGTTTACATTTTAATTTGTCTAATTGACCTTTTATATATATTTTTTCATATATCAATTGTGTTAACAAGTACATGTATATGGTTAGATTGTTTGAAATGCATTGTGCATATAAATCACATAATTCTAATAACCTTCATCTTCTTCATTGTATGATTCAAATTTGATAAATTCTTTTTTTTGTGGTTATTGTTAGTGGTAAAGGTGGATGATGATTAGCAATGAAGACGATGACATGTGTGTGTCAGTACATTTCAATCCAATTTCTGATAAGATTATAGATATAAATGTCTGGTATATTGTCCAACGATCGTGAATTTTCAATCACAGTAAAATACAAATCTTTACAAATATGATCTTACACATTGAACAAGTTAATAATTATCTGGATTCAAAAGTTCAATGGATAAATTATGGAAGCATTTCAATTGAAGTGTTGAGCTTTTGTTTCAATGTGCACAACATATATATATCAGAAGGGGTTTGTGGAGATTTTGGAAATTTCACAGATTGAAATCATGAGTCAATTGAAGTTAGACCACCATGGGAAACCTGATAGGTCCTGGGTTCGAATCTCGCGGGGTGCGGAATCGTGGATGCGCACTGCCGAGGAGTCCTATACTTGGACGAAATGGCCGTCCAGTGCATCCAGGTTTTCCATGGTGATCTAGCATCAATTGACTCATTATTTCAATCTGTGAAATATATATATATATATATATATATATCAAGGATGTATTATTTTCAATCGAGTTAAATGTATTTAAAATAATTGTTCTATTTCAGTTTCAAATCTATAATCTATAGTAAATAGACGATATTAATACAAGATAAATGATTTACAACCTTTTGCATCTCATCATGATCTGACAATCATTAGTGAATGAAACGGCAATACGGTACAATTGGTTCTTATAAATAAAGTTGATTGTGAATGTTCATAAAACAAAAGTTTCATGAACACCCTAATAAAATAGTAATGATAATTTTATGTTCATTGGTGAAACTTGAAGAACTACCACAATCATCATCAAAAACATACAAGCATTTATAAACAATTTTCTACATAAGATACTCAACGTCCGTTGATCCGATACCATCAGAAACAAATTACTGTGGAAGAAAATAAAACAGCTTTCAAATCCAGAGGAAATTAGGAAAAAGACGATGGAAGTGGAGAGATTGAGTATAGATTGAGGAAATCACCAAACTGCAACACGAGGCAAGTGCTAACTTGGAATCCAGAAGGGAAACAGAAAAGAGGAAGGCTAAAGAACATACTACGTTAGGAAGTGGAAGCAGACATCAAAGAATGAATAATAACCGACAAGGATTGATCAGGACACAGTTGGATGGAAAATGTTGGTATGCAGACCATGCTTCTCAACAAGGGGTAACAGGCGTAAGTAAGTAAGGTGATTAGTTTCAAGATGGAATTTTAGACATTATTTGTGTGCCAGACGTTTTAAGGTGTAAAGTCAACCAGGTTGATAGTAAGAGAGAGGTAAAACATGTGTTGCGTATGCCCAACCACCGACTACCTCGACATGCGATGTTTTATGACGTAGGAGTAGGTTGGAAGAAAGCTAGGGACTACTACTACTACTACCAGACTACTACTCAAATCCATGAAGTCACTGATAAGTGAATTGAGCCATGTTGGTAGGTGTAGATTACCTGGTTGGGGTCCGCGAGATGATAACAACCGATAATTAGAGACCTTAAATGACATGGCTCAAATTCGTTTGCAATGGCACAAGTGCATCCACTCTATATGTTCTCCCAAATTCTAATCTTCTGAATTCTTCATGTCTCTTTTCTTTCTCTTTCCAAATTTATTTCACTGTATTATACTCCTTGAATAACATCTTCAAACCTTAATCTTTCAGATTACTGCTTATACTTTTACTACCTCTAATACTACGGGAATTGAATTGACAATTGTATCTGTGTGCTAATGTGTTATGGCAACTCGAACTGATGTACGTAGGTACGAGGTTCTACGTTGTTACTGACTGACTGAAAACATTGATGATTGTATGAAGTCTAAAAATTGGCTACGATTAATTAAATCTACATGTAAAAATTTTTTATACGGCTGTTACAGTTCACGAAACGTCAACTAGAGCATTTCCAAGAATTCCTGATGGTCGTAACCGAAGCTAAAGTAGTAAAGGTTGAAAATATGGTTAATGAACCCTACATCCAGCAACAACAACAAAAACAAAAACATACACTAAAGTTCATGAGTTTAATCCCCTTGTAAGATGATTAGTGTTGAACTTTTGTAGAGTAACTAAAAAATCGAAGACATAATTGTCCAGTAGTATATATATATATATATATATATATATATATATATATATATACAATCAATTTTAACAAATCTAACATTTATTTATGAAAAAGATAGAACTAAAACTTACATTAAAAAGACATTTTAATTGTATTGCATCTAATGAAATGAATTTAGATTGTTTTATTTCAGTTGTTGATGATTTATTATTATTATTATCAATTACAATTTCAGAAGTACTTCGTTGTAATTCATAATGATCAGTATGATCATGACAATTATTATTATTATTATTGATTAATTTTAAATTATCTTGAAGTAATTGAATATATTCTTGATGAATACGTTTTAAACGACATTTTAAACAATTATGATCTAATAATGTAAATGATGTAATTTGATTTTGTTGTTCAATAAATTTATGTAATTTTACTTCCGGTAATGATGATGATTTTAAAAGGAGAACATCACGAGAAGTTTTCATATCTTATATATATATCCATTGTATTATATAAATGAATATGTATAGTGTAGAGAAAAACAAAATAATATTAAACAGATTAACTTATTAAATATAGAAATAAACGGAAGATGAATATTTACAAATATATTATTCAAGTGTTATTTCTGATTAAAACAAAAAGTAGATTAAACTGTTTCTGGAATTTTCATAAAGATTGAAATCATACTAAAATATAGATTTAAGTATATAACATTATAATACACTATTTATTGAATGTATAGATGTATGAGGGTTAGTAAAAAGATATAATCTTGACTGTTACTAGAGATATTACAGCAGTTGTCGATTTCCAGTTGCTCATAGTGTAAAAGGATACTTCTGTTTGGATTACCTCGAAAGTAAGTTGAATTATGAGTGAACCCGGAAGAATGGCCGCATGGTCCTATAAACAACTTCTTAAAGTCAATTACATGTGGTCTTTTTGTGAGAAGCTCTAGATGAGCTAACCCCGTACTATTAAGACCATACTAATGGTGACAAACATCCATGAGGCAGGGTGAGGTATACTGTTTTCACAGATGATATTTTCTAATCTCTTCATTCTCTTATGTGAAATCATTGTCTCTAGAGATGCCGACAGTTTCAGAACATCTAATCACTCTCAGACATTTGTGCAATCAGAAGTGCGACTTCAATTTCGGAACCTAAAGTTACTGTCATCACGAAATGCCATCCCGACCACCACATCAAAATAGCAGCTACGGGAGCCTTAATGATACACTACTAAGCTACCAATGTAAATGTGAGCGTGAAAAGCAGTATTCGATGATACAATGAAATGATCTAGACTTGAATGCAATTCTAAAAGTTAGTGAGCAGTCCACAATACAGATTAAAATTTAATGAAGTAATCGGTCATTCAAAAAAACGATAATTCGTCTTTCATATTATTTCAATAATCAACTATAAAATATGACCAACTCATCATCTACCACAATCTATCATCAACAATAAAGCAAGATGAGACCAAATCGTTTTGTCTACTTTACTATAGAATTGATAAATTGTCGAAGAAAGTTCTATAAGCACACCAATCCAATCAATTAGAATCACAAGCCTAATTTATCAATTTATACAAGAAAGATTGGTCACAATCAAACAATCAGTAGTCAACTAGTCGGATGTTAACTTAATACCACTCACTGATGGAAACGCGAAAATTTCAGGTTCGATTAATAATGGAGCTGTAAGTAAATTGGACAATGCCGAGAAGCTCTAAATACTAAAGATAAAACAACTTACTAGTTTTCATTAACACTCTAGCTATGAAGATCAAACCTATGATGCATACATTACAATGTATACAAATTAAACTAAATATCATTACAATACAATTCATTTTTTATTGGAGAATATGAATTTTAATTAAAATGTACAAAATTTACCATCATCGTATATCATTGAATCATATTGTGTTGTTGTACTTTCGCTACCACAAATGTCAGTAGCATTTGTTAAATCACATAAATTACTTGAAGACATTGATCGACTTTGATTATGCATTGACATGAAAGGTGTATGCATCTGTAATGAAGATGTATTATTATTAATACTATTGGAAAAGGTTGTTTTTGTTGAGTGAAAACTTGAAGTCATCATTAGAGCAGAGTCAGTGAATAAATTATCTTCAGCAAATATTGATGATATAATAATATTATCTTCATTAATTTCATCATTGTGAATTGTAAACGGCGGTGACGATGATGATGATGATGACGAAGATGAATGTTGATTAACAATAGTACTAGTGGTAGTAGTAGGTGTTTGAAGTGTTTGAAGATGATGATAATCAACGATATTGTCGTCATTCTCATGTGTAGTTGAATTCTTTTAATGAGTTTTAAAAAAATAGAAAATGAAAATACAATTAGTTCCATTGAGATCAAAATGTAGTATACTTGTATGTTCCTTTGAAATATGAGTTTTTATGATAATGAAGATCAATATTGAACAATAACACATAGAAACTGGGGGTGGGGTTTCTTATCGATTACTGGCATTGATCACTACTTATTAATTAGATGTGAACTAACAAACACTTTATAATTCATTTCGTAAGCCTCAACTAAGAAACCCAAGTCTATCGATGTGGCGCAAACAGGGGGTTATTAAATTAATGAATCAATAACACATCTTGATCCCTCTACTTCTAAATAATTATAAATACGTACTCCTATCAATATATATAATGTAATCAGGCATACATAATACATGTCCTAAACAAATGAGTTTAGAAAAGGTTTTTAGGTTTAAATAATTAACTTGCACTTCTTAACTTGTGGTTGACCCCTAACCACTGACTGTAATGCTCCCTAACTAATTCCAACATATGTTACCAATGTTCTGGAAGATATCTACCATTAAATGCCTACATCGTCAGTCAGTCAGTAACAACGTAGAACCTCGTACGTACGTACATCAGTTCGAGTTGCCATAACACATTAGCACACAGATACAATTGTCAATTCAATTCCAGTAGTATTAGAGGTAGTAAAAGTATAAGCAGTAATCTGAAAGATTAAGGTTTGAAGATGTTATTCAAGGAGTATAATACAGTGAAATAAATCTGGAAAGAGAAAGAAAAGAGACATGAAGAATCCAGAAGATTAGAAGTTGAGAGAACATATAGAGTGGATGCACTTGTGCCATTGCAAACAAATTTGAGCCATGTCATTTAAGGTCTCTAATCATCGGTTGTTATCATCTCGCGGTTTCCAACCAGGTAGTCTACACATACCAACATGGCTCAATTCACTTGTCAGTGGCTTCATGGATTTGAGTCATGTTTTAGTCTGGTAGTCCCTAGCTTTCTTCCAACCTACTCCTACGTCATAAAACATCGCATGTCGAGGCAGTCGGTGGTTTAACATACGTAACACGTGTCCCAGCCATCTCAACTGATAACGTTTGACTGCTTCATCAATTGATTTTCCATCCCTACCTAATATTTATAATAATAATTATTATTTGAACACATAAATAATGTTACAAGAGCGCATCAAATATATATGAGTCACACCATCATATTTGTGTGTGGGCTGTGATACTGTCTGGGTGCCCAGACCGAAGCAGGTAGTTTTCTTAGGGAGCCACACCCAGAGCCTTTGACCTAAAGGACTGACCCACAAGGCATTGAAGTATCGTGAGAAGATGCAGTCACATAGTAATCGGTGACCAAGGAATGGTTCATACGCCATTTGTTCCCGCAAAATACTGGGGCCCATGTGCACCATTGGTTTGGGATCCGTTTAAAGCGCCGGACATTCGCTTTTCGTCCTCTCATGTTCGTAAAAGACAACCTCGCCACGAGAAGGCAGAGGCTGTATACGCTTGGCCGTATGAGAGCATTCCGAGAGGGCGGGCCCACCCCATTCTCGGCATATCAGGGCATCTGAAGGGGCTACCTAGTACCTGTTTCCTAACAACTACATTACTTAATCGGTGGTCCCTGGATATACGAGCAATGTTTCGAGGACACCTATGATCAAATACTAGTAAACTACGAATATCCTCTACTCTTACCGGCCATGTTTCACTTCCATAAAGTAGGAGGGAACAAACTGATGCACAGTGAACACGTCCTATGGTTGGTAGACGGATATCTCGCCTACGCCATAAATGACGCAAGTTGGCAAAACCTAGTCGAGCCTTCTGTATCCGTGCTAAGATTTCGTCACACACTAGACTACAAAGGCTGATGAGACTTCCAAGATAAGTGAAGCGATCAACACGCTCAACTACTTCACTCCTTATCATTAGTTCGGGTTTCGATGCAATCCAATCCTGAAGCAACATTTTGCATTTCAAGGGGGAGAATCGCATCCCGAACGTGCCTGCATTGTTGCTTAGAGTGATCAGAAGACTCTGCATTTTGTCAGCGTCTTCACCAAATAGAACTATGTCATCGTCATATTCTAAGTCAAAAAGTGAATCTCCCGGTAAAAGTTCAACTCCTGGAAATTAAGATAAAGAAACTGTTATCGAATCTTCTATGTATATTTTTATTATTCAGAGAAGAATAGAAAAGACCAGAAAATAATCAAGTTACCCGAAATCTATACCATTTAATGAACCTTTAAAAAAAATTGATAAGTACTTCATTTACGAACATAAACAATTTGTTATCTGAACACGCTTTTCTTTACACATCACATGTCTTGTAAGCACTACAGAAAATTCTTACTTTCAACCTTGTTTAGATATCCCCATTTAGTATACAGTTAACTGGAGAACTATTTACCTACTTATATTTGATAATTTTGATGTTTAATTATATTTCCTTGAAAAAGCTTCAACCAGATTACCGAGTGAAACGTTGGATTTATTTAAAATTCATTAGTTGAGATTTTTACAAAAATATAATTTCGCCTCCTTAATGTTTACCATTAACTCGGCACCCAAGTTCTCATAAATTAAAGATCTACTGAACAACCTTGTAATCATATGTGGAATGGTGCCAATAACTCATTTATGTAATTAGAGTGCAGTTATCAGACAACTATACCTTAACGAAAATTTCATCCAAGATGTAATTATATTATTGAAAGAAATGATATTGTTAATTAGATTTCAAACGAACAAAAAACAACCTATACTAGTCAACTTCATAGGCTTTAAATGTTAACGTTAAAAATCATTCAAACTGAAACTAACTTATTCACAGTTAATTAATCATTGAGTTATTCAATTAATTAACGTTACATTTAACATAACAGATAGAATATAGCTGACAATTAAACTTTTAAGAGATTTCAATTGATCTGTGCTTTTTGTTTCAGTATTAATGCTTTTTAGCTCTAAATAATGAATAAATCAGTATGAGGATTTGTGAAGATTGTGGTATTTTCACAGTTCAATTCACGAGGTAATTTAATCTAGACCACTGTTAAAAACTTGGACAGTCATTTCGCTATGATATTGAACTCCTTAGCAGTGAGTATCCACGACCACGCACGCGTGACTCAAACCCAGGACCTTCGGCCTCACGCGCAAATGCTTAATCTCGAGACCACTTCAATCGATCCATGATCTTGCACAAAACTTCAGCCATTGTTTGAGGTGGACAACTGTCTCACACCTGATATGGATCGGATCCCATTGATCACGGCTTCTCAGTAGAATTTCAGGAGTTCTATCTTAAAGCTAGTCACTAGTGCAAACATGATTGTTATCAGTTCAATTCATGAGTTGACCTAAGCACAACAACCATTAGAAACCTGGAAGCACTGGACGGCCTAGCTTAGATCGACTAGTGAATTCAACTGTGGAAATAAATAAATAATAATATGCACTTCATGATGTGAACAAAATCAACTTTTATTATTGTTTTAAATCAGTGGATTCTTTTTTACTCTGTTGTATTGTTTAATGTTTCTAAATTTACATTGTTGATACTGTCTATAAATCAATTTACAGACCTACAGTATGGCATTAGTCATTATTTTTTTTTAAATCGACAATGTTAACAGAATTGATTAGAAACTTCATGATTAAATCCGGTGATGGATAATCTGAGAGAATTATGTGAAGATAGGTGACTAGACGATAAAGTTTACTTCCTAGTTTTATTGATTACTTAGATCATGTTCTCCTAGATCTCGCAAATCTCTTCCCAAAATCAAATGAATATAAATACACATTTGTGTATCCAAGACTCTATACGATTATTTGAGTTTATGACAATATAGAACATTGTGATCGAAACTGTTGTTCATAGTTTCATCGCAGAATGAATATACAACTGTCGCTGTTCGCATTTAGTTTTCCTGACTACCAAACACACTAAAGATTGATACATGTATCTTGTCAAAAACCATAATCTTCTCATTTTCATTAAAACAGTAGAGAAATTACAGCTTAAATATGGTTATTCAGTATTAAATGTAGATAAAAAGACTTGGTTGCTATTGATGTTTAATCATTTGTGGAAGGAGAGGGTAAGATACTAATTCACATTAATACATGAAAATGATAATACTTCTTGGAAAGAAAGGACATACTTTTCTGTGTGCTGCACTATTTTGTAAGCATAATTCTTCGGTACTCATAAGTTTAACAGGAGAATACGATATATTGTGAGATTCTGTAAATTCCAATTGTTCTTCAGTTTGTGTACCAGTAGTCACTAAATGTTCAAAACGTGGTAATGTATTCAAAGAAATTGACATACGATCACCTGAACGTACTGCCACAGGTGGAAAACGACATAATTCCCAACTACATAAACTTCCTGGAAGTTCTTCCCAGCCTGTATGAATATTATTAACTGTATGAATTGTAGTACGACGTACTGAACTGGGAAAAAATAGGAAATATTGGATTAGAAGTTGAAAACTAGCGAATGGTAAATCACGTTCTCATAAAGAGGTTAAATAAAAGTGTAATCACATGTTAATTGGTTCATATTTTTTTAAAAATTCACGTTAAAACAAAAAATTAGTTGTCACTATTATTCCTTCGTATGGGTGAGTTAAAACTGAAATATAGAATAGATAGAATATGGTTATCGGTGTGATCTAGGAACGCATTTCATCCTATTTGAGACTCTTTATATAAATGTACCTGCATTCCAGAGTTGGTATTCACACAGGGACTCGAACCCAGTACCATTTGCTTCAACTGACATCGCAAGTCTCATAGTGAACATCAATTCAGGGATGTATGTACATCCAGGTGATGATTCCCAAACATAATGAAACACGTCTCTGGATTCCATTGCTAGCCAAGTTCCATCTGATCTATATCAACATATGCCATAATGGTTATATCGAGGAAATTCACACAGGACGCTACTATCCCAATCAAGATTGATAGGATTTCAATAAAAAACATCAACAATGTGATAATCTGAATTATTTAAAATTTAATTCAAACTGAAGTGTTTTGAATGACTACAATCGAATGAATAGCAATTAAAGATAATACTGATAGACAGTATTTTTTATTAATCTTCTGGCTGAACGCTTGAATCGGTTTCATGAGCTGTTCTAGTAACCCCAGGCTTTACTCTGTTACTTTCTGTACAGAAAATTGAGGGTATTTATAGCGTTTCATATGGCTTTGGGCTTCTGGGAGGTCCTAGAACCCGACCAAACATAGCGACATGGTAGGTAATCATCCAATCAGAAATGTAACCCGTGACTCTTCACTTTCTAGATGTTTCTGAGGAATTTCTATTGAACGTTGATTAGATAAAACGTTTCCCAGTGTTTTTAGGACCCCTCTAGCCTTTCTTCAAGGAATACTCCGAATTGCCCCAGCAATTTCCGATATGTAAATTTAAATGAAAGTGATGGAACTAAACTCTCAATATAAATACTAGAGTTTACAGCTTAATAATTATAATTATAACAATAATGGTGATATGATCATTTACGTATAAAATATACTTGACCAATATAGTTTGGATTAATTTTCCGATGATGACAGACAAATTATCAGAGATATTAAATGAAAGCTCCAAAGCAAACAATAGGTGTAGACTACCTGATTAGGGTTTGCGAGATCATCATAACTAATGATTAAGATATTTGGTGAAATGGTTCATAATCAATTACATTGGATAGTGAATGCATCCCACTTCCTTATCTTACTTTAGACTAATGTTCCTTCCTACATATCTTTTCTTCCAGTCTTTTCAAAGAATATTTTCATTATTTAATCTTTCTCATTAGCAATATTATTGGTGACCTTCTTGAACATCTGAGCTACCTGTTCCTGTCATCCAAATATTTCAATAAATCTGTTTTTGTTTAATACATTATTATGTCTATTAATCGCATAACTTATTCAGGTGAGTTTATGAAAAGTGTACGACCTTTTTCTGTACAAGTTACAAAAACAGTACAATTAGAGACGCCGCGATGGCAAGAATGAACATTATTCAGACGTTGATTCCTTAACTGCTTACATCTAACTGGCGATCGCTTAATATTTATCGTCAGGATCGATCAAGAAATAAAAAAAGGAAACTTGTTGAAATACTTTGTGCTGAGAATTCCATATTTTACTTAAAGTAAAATATTGAATATAAACATTAGTAATCATTATTATTGTTTATATTTCTTTATCATTCATCTTGTTAATTTCATCGCAGTATTTCACTGATGTGGTATGGGAACATGAATGAATACAAATATATACTCATCTCTAAGTTGTTTTATAAATGATTGAACCAATGAAAGAATATGTTCTTTTGTTTCATTGAATCAATTGTCCTTATCAAAAAACCCCAGATAAAACAAAAGAGAAGTGACAATTATAAATTATCTCATTGTATCTATCTAATTGTGATATTGGTCAACAGATAAATTAATATTGTGTAATTTAGTTAACGTTTATACTTTTGAATAAATTTTCATTACATAAACAAAGGACTAAATTCTTTTTTTGTATTGTTTGTTTGAATTTTTTCATTGATATTTAGGAATACAATTGATCAGTCTCTTATTGACATAAGTGCATCCTATGCGGATTGCCTAGATATTGCTTTAGATCACAAGCATTATAAGCATTGAACAGAACACTCCCAAATAGGACGAAACACGCGTTCTAGATTCCACTGCTGGCCACCATCCATCTTCGCTTATAAAGAAAGGACTGTTTATTGTATCTCTGAAAAGGGTAGTTTATTTAATAATAATAATAATAATAATAATAATAATAATAATAATAATAATAATAATAATAAAAGTTATGTATACATAATAAATTAGTTGATAAAATTCAGATGAGTCTGAATAACAAAACAAAATAAGGTAAAAACGCTTACTCATCAACAGATAATCCAAGGCTAGAATTCAAGCTTCGACCAGATCCAACATTTAGAATTGGTCCAATTAAACCGAATTCAGCTTGACAACCAACATTCATAAAATCTCTTGTTGATATGTTCTCTAAACTACTAAATGGAGAGGTTGTAATAGATTTTGTTTCAGGCATATTAATTTGTGTACTAGTTATCATTGTAGATATGGATGTTTTGGCAGTTGTTGTTGGCGTCATGATAGTTGATTTTAAATTTGAAAATGGACTACTACTATTACTACAGATAAAACCGGTACTGTTAGCAATATTGGATGTTTGATCTAAAGAAACACTCCCACTCGGATTGGTCAATGATGAATTAGGTAGAAAAGAAGTATTTTTAAATAGTGAAAACGATTTATTCAATTCCATCCTTAATAGATTAGATATATTAGTAGGCATAGATTGCATTAACCTTTCTAAATCATCACGAGTAATTTTAACTGATTGTGTTATATTCGATAGATTATGATGATCAGTTTGATAGAAATTATTCGATAATATACCTAATAATGATGACGAATCAACTGACCAATTTGATAGACTGGATAATTCACCTCGATCAGATTCATCAAATGGCATTGAAGCACGACGATTAGCATCAAGCATTACTTTGGTATGTGGTGGACGTAACAAAACTGGTTGGTGTTGTATAGGACAATTATAATTTGAACGTTTTTTACTTTGATCCGATTCAATCACTTCATCTTCTTTAACTTTAGCCAATTGAGGATCTGGTGAACTGAGTGAATTTAATCGAGTTGAACGAACACGCGAATGTTGTACACGATTCAATGCACAAGCTTTGGCTAATTCATTTAAACGTGGTTCAGATAAAGAAGATAAGGCATATCGTCGATTCACTGTGAATTCTGCTGCATTTGTTTGAGGACTATGTGAAAGTGAATCGACTTTTTGATTAGATGTAGTAGTAGTCGTAGTGGTAGTAGTAGTAGTGGTGGTGGTAGTAGTAGATGTTTCATACAATTGCTGTTCAACTACATCTTGTGACATAGAAATTGTTCCTGGTATATTGGTAAGCTATACACATGAACAAATAATGATAAGAATAATAGATAAAGTGACTTAACGTGATAAACGTCAAAATAGACAAGAATCGATTATATAGACCAAAAAAAATTATATTGTTCTGCAGACGGTATTCATCACGAGTTGGTCTCAGTCAAAGTATAGCTGAAAACCAGCGAGAACTAGAAATATGGGACTCCATGACACTACTAGGAATCAAATTCATAACCTTCTAGTTAAGCAAAAAGGGAGCTTCACCATTCGCGTCCAGGTGAACAAACTCAACTCTAATAAATATATCAAATGTACATACAAATATATCTCTTTTGTAAGCTAACATAACGTATATTTTGAAGTGTTAATTCCATTACCAACTTTGAACATTCTAAAGTCAATTTTATCAAGGCAAAACAACAGTACTGAATGAATTCTTAAAATACATTGATTAGTGATTTATTTGCCAAAAATTCCATGATTTATGAACAATACTACTGATCAGATCAGATGTGAACTTTGAGATATGATGTGTACTTCATTTTAGTCGAGTAAATAAAATTAAGAGCTTTCAAACATATACATAAATACATAAACACTTAAACAAACAAAGTTCGATTCACAGTTAAAACATAACAATACATGAAAACCGCAATATACTGGAGAAACGAAATAAACAATAAAGCAAGTGATCATCTACCCCGAGACATTCCGCTTTTGAATTAGTCCATGGTGAAAACAGTGAATGTAGAACGTTATTTTCTAGGGATAAGAGAAAAAAATTATGTTTTAAAATAAAATATGATTTGTTATTAGGTACTTTAATAATGTTCAAAAACCAATTAATCATAACTCGATAAGAGACGATAGCTGATGGAGGAGCATATTGGTAGAAGGCGAATGACGCACAAACCGAGACATGATACGAATCTATGAAAACAGTGACCATGGAAATGAATCATGTAGGTTGTGGTTTACGAGATTATCGTAACTAGTGGTCAAAGACTTTGAATGACATAGATCCAAATCATTCGCAATGTGATGCATGTGCCATTCACTCTTTATCTTTCATAAAATCGCAAGTTTCTAAATTCATCATAATCTCTTTTCATTTCACAAGTTTGTATTTTTTCCCAAATTGTAAATTCGATGCCTAATTTTCTTCTTACAATTAAGATTATTAGTACCTGTACCTCAAGATGGCCTAGTACGGCTGAGAGTGGGTAGAGTCTGATCTCCCTCTCACATAATAACAAGACTATAGCTTATGGACGACCCAATCTGATATAAAATAACAGGTCCTGAGTTTTTGGCGCGAAACTCAGCCATTTGACTAAATGGAGTTTTGAATTTTAGCTGATGTCAGTTTGTGATGAAAACCGTAAGTTTAATTCCTAACCCTAACCATCAACTGTGAATCAAAATTCTAATTCTTCTCACTGGTTTATAAACCTCATTTAATCCTAGTTAGTAAGTGGACATTATCAAGGTCACTTTAGCGTCTTTCAAATTTCATCCATCAATTATATTCCCAATATGAGGTCTTGTCTACTTGTATATAAACCACGTATGTCTGAAATATACGAATTATATTAGCGGGGCCTGATACTTATGTTCTAGACTGATCTAGGCGAAGAATTACTGTACAGAAAACCAATGAGGACCATAGGTTCACTTAAGGTTATTAGTGCTGTTTTGATGCATCATTGTTTTAACACAGGCACAAGATCATAGAAGTCGGTATTCTGATTGGCAACCTTGTCACGTGATATTTGATAAGTTATAAACAAGTAGAAGCTAACATTGGGTATTGCATAAAATCTATTCGATATATATGGTAGAAAATGTAACTATGACGGGAATAATCAAGTTAGGGATAAATGTGCTCATAGATCAATGAATGATTCAAAGTATTAGAATATAGTATTAATAACATGTTTGACATTTAAAAAACATACTTAAATGTTTAGAAAATATACGCCGTCGACGACATTCTTCAGTTCTCAAATTAGTTTCCTCTTTAAGATAACATACAGATCGTTGAGTAAGCATATCGTCGAATTCTGTACGCCTAACAATTTCAGCTAAACAGCTATTGATAATTAAGAGAGAAAAAAAACAAAAAAAGAGGAAATCAGAAGTAAACTTAACAAATAAACATAAAATCAATTAAATATGTGCATTGGTAAAATAAATTGAATTCTCTCAGCAGTTTTTACAGTTGTACGAGAGGATTTTTTTAAATTCCACTATTGTACATCTCTTACTTACTTACGCCTGTTACTCCTCGTGAAGGAGCATAGGCCGCTCACCAGTATTCTCCATCCAACCCTGTCCTGGGAAATCCTTTCTAGCTCCGTCCAGTTGTAATTCATCGTTTTCATATCTGCTTCTATTATCCAACGCAATGTGTTCTTTGGCCTTCCTCTTTTTCGCTTCCCTTCAGGATTCCAAGTTAGGGCTTGCCTCGTGATGCAGTTTGACGATTTGCGTAATGTATGTCCTATCCACTTCCATCGTCTTTTCCTAATTTCTTCTTCAGCTGGAAGTTGGTTTGTTCTCTCCCACAGAAGGCTATTGCTGATGGTATCCGGCCAATGGATGTTGAGTATCTTGCGTAGACACATATTTATAAATACTTGTACCTTCTTGATAATGGAACTCCGCCTGTAGCTCTCATAGGGTTACTGCCGGTCCCAAGCCCGGGTAAAGGAGGAGGGTTGGGCATGGGGTTAGCGTCCCCATCCCGTAGAAAACTAACTCGCTAAAAAAACGCTTACCAGAGAAAAAAATAATCCAAACCACTGTACATCTCATCTAATACTAAATAAAAAAACACAAGATTGATAGGCAATTTAGAGCTTATAGTATTTGACTTTTTAAGAGACTAATTAGCAGTAAATTTATTTAGATATTTAATCCATTAAATAATTATTACCCAATCAATACATTCTTATAGTAAGTAGTCGTTACAACAGATTTAGTTACAGTCCATAAATTCAAATGTTAAAGCCTAAGTATACAAATGTTTAGATTCATTATATCGACGGACAAATATTTAGCAACTATCTTAGGTGATAGTAATGGGTTTAACTTATCTAAAATCAGTTCCGTACACCTACCAAATATGATTTTATGAACTTGGCTTCGAGTTACACTATTTATGTGAGGATTAATGATACCAATAGGCTGTTTAAACCTAAAAGTAAGTGGAGTGATATTTGAATTTTTGACCTAGTGTTTGCAAGTCGTGTGCTTCGAACATCAACGTATCGTTTCTGTCTAAAGAAAGACATAAAGGCGTAACCAACTGATAAAACTCTGAGAAAAATAGTGAAACCTATTCGCTTATATAATGAAGAGCGAAAAGTCATGTAGCACCTACATATACACGTTTGTAAACTACAGACTAAATACATACATAATTTCGATAAGTAAAGCCGAGTTTGAATACATTGTTCAATAGTTTGAACATTAAACCGCATGTACGGCTCGAAGATTGAATGATACCTTACTCCTAACTACAATTGAGCGATTACTTAACTGCAAATTTCATCAACAATTGAAATGTTATAACTGTAAAGTTACTTTTCTTTAGAAATATATTAGTGGGAAAGTCAACGAACAGAGTACACAAACTTAATCTTAGTGCCCGTTCACAGACTAAAATATCTGACCTCATACAAGATATTAAGGAGGAGAAATTATATTTTTGTAAAAATCTCAACTAATGAATTTTAAATAAATCCAACGTTTCACTCGGTAATCTGATTGAAGCTTTTTCAATGAAATATAATGAAACATCAAAATTATCGAATATAAGTAGATAAATAGTTCTCCAGTTAATTGTATACTAAATAGGGATATCTAAACAAGGTTGAAAGTAAGAATTTTCTGTAGTGCTTACAAGATATGTGATGTGTAAAAAAAAGTGTGTCAAGATAACAAATTGTATATGTGTGTCAATGGATCTGAGATGAGAGTAAAATAATTTGATTGACCATAATATCACCTGTGATCAGTGAATATTTTGTTGAATACGGACAATTTTTATAAATGATATGAGTTAACTATGTCACAGCATCAAGTTTTTTTTTAAAAAATTATGAAAGCTTGTGTAATTCTGTTGATGAAATTTATTGTTCATCAAATTCATCAAATAAACCAACTGATTAGACCAGTTAAAAGTAACGGTTATTGTTTAGATAATTAAGTGGATTAAAATGATATAAAGAAATCAGGTCCATTTAATTAGTTGCCATAGTACAATGAATTGTATTCCATCTCATCTATTAACACTATTTGAGATTTATTCATATATGCAGGGGGTTTTAGTCGCTAAGTATCTCTTTGTAAGTACTCAATCCTTTATTGAGTAATTTTTTTTCCAATTGAAATCAACTATATTATCTTATATAAGATACTAGTATGGATGTTGTTTCAGTGGTCTTGAGTGCTGTTAGAAGTATGAGGGCAGTTATCACTTCCCGGTTGCCCACACCGTGGAAGAGTTCTTCTGGAGGTACCTGAAAAGGAAATTGGATTAAAGGTGGTCTTAGTGACCTGAGAGCGTGAACGCAGTGTCCAAGGGACAACTGCTTACGACCGGTCACACACGACCTTTTTATGAGTAATTTTTGTGTTAGCTCCGTACTTCTTGAGACCTTACTACCGGAGACAGATATCCGTGGGATAAGGTGAGGTGTGCACTTTTAGGATCGACCTTTTCTAACCCCACCCCTCCTTGTGGGAAGGCAGCATCGCTGTCATGCTTGTTGTCTGAAGGAAACACCTTACTGCTGTCACATCTCTGTACAGTCAGCAGTACGACTTCGCCTTCGGACCTTAGGTTTGTTGCTTTTAATTTACCGCTCATCAACCGACCTGTCTGACATGGTAGAACCTTGAGGAACGGTTGTTCCAGCCAATATAGCTCGGTTGCTTCATCCCGATAGGCAAGCCTGACCACGACGTCAAGGTAGCAACAAAGGTCGGGGGATGTTGTTTCACGACAAATACATTGTCATTTATTCAACCAATATACAATACATCATGTAAAACATATGCTACAACACACTTTAATAAAATAAACTAAATAGTTATGATCGATGACCACACAAAATGAGAATTTCAGTCATATGACCAATCTATTAACATGTATTCACATATATACAATATATCCTACATATCATGTGTACTTCGAAAGAATTTTCATTCACAGTAACATAGATTTATTTTTATTGTTGTTTTTTTTTTGAAAGACAAAATAACAGACAAATAAAACATACGGCACTAATGATGATTTATTTATAACGTGAATGATAACAGTAGAAAAAATCAGCTGATATGTAAAGTGAAACTTGGAGAAAAAATTGCACATACATACATGCACACACACACACAAACAAACATATTAAACTAGGTCATACAAGGGGGAAAAAAAGAGGAGTTAACACAAATACAGTTGAAGAATATATGGAAATCAAAACAACTGTCAACCAATTAATTAATATCAAAGTCACAATCTTCAATATGAACGTCAAGACAATTCAATTGAATGGAGCTGAAACTTCAACAACTACTACAACCATCCATCAGTAACGTACAACAATTGTCTACACAAGATACTTAATGTTCGTTGACCAGATACCACCAACAAAAACCTACCATGAGAGAGAACAAATCAGTTTCCAAATGAAGAGGAAATTAGGAAAAGACAATGAAGATGGATAGAACATATATTGCACAAATTATCAAACTGCACCACAAGGCAAGCTCTCATTTGGAATCATCAAGGTCAAAGGAAAGGAGGAAGAATAAAGAACACATTACGACGAAAAATGTAGACAAATATGAGCAGGATGAACAACAATTGGATAGAACTAGAAAGGAAGGTCCAGAACAGAGTGGGTTGGAGAATGCTGGTCAGCGGCCTATGCTCCAGTAGGGGTAACAGGAGTAAGTTAAGAATATAACTTACTGAATAGGTCAGCTCTAACATCCTGTGAGTCAGTGTATATTTGTTACGCAAGGCATTGTAGAGTATATAAGCCTTTACTCGGGTGCATGGGTTCTAATGGATTAACGGCTCATTCTACCAGAAGATATACAAGGAGAAAGATGTGAGCAATTATATCAATTATGGAATGTTTACGTGCACAAGCGATTATAGTAGATATAAATCGTACTGAGATCGAAAAAAGCTCAACGAATCAGTAATTAATCAGTGATTCAGTTCTATCATACTGATGACAAAGTTTTATAGATCAAGGATTCGATTATAACTGAGAAGTACTGAGGTGGGCAGTATACTATCACAAACACTTAAATATGGAAACAAGCAAGTATCAAGTAATCTCATACATTTCCAAAAGTTTGTTTATAGAGAAAATTTTATAAATAAGTATTTCCAGTACAAATGAAGTCACACCACTACTTACCGAGCATAGGTGGGACCAGCTTCATTTAATTGAGATATTAATGTGCCAGTTGTAGTGACACGACACATACGACGAAGACAACGTTGAATAATTGCATCGAGACGATTTAATTCTGATTGGAAATTTTGTAGCCAACTACAACAATAATAAAAAAGGTAAGTGATATTACATTTAAATTCTAAATATTATATTCAATCAATGATTATGTAGAACGCATAATAAGATTGATAAAAAAAACAATTGCAGAACTATTGAATATTAAGAATTCCTTTTTTTGATGGCTGAATTTATCTTAAATGTTTGACACACAAATTTAAAGCACAAAATATGAATGAAAAGGATGTACTGACTTCCCACATTATGATTATAACTACCTTGATTATATTGAAATCCATGTTTAAGACATGATTTGAAAATAATTTATAGTACAGTTTCAAGAGTATTCAAGAAATTTCTCATAATGTGATCAATCTTACTTTGGTAGGGCCGACAGTGAGGAAAGTCCGCTCCCTATTTCAAATTGCTCTCACATGGCCACGCGTATACAGCCACTCTATCAGAGAATTCTTACTCACTGCATTCTCTTAGATAGTGTGTTGTTTACGAAATTGAGAGGGCCAAAAGCGAGTATTCGGATATTTAAGCGGATTTGCTGGTACGGAAGACCCAACTACGGGAGTTGCAAAACAACAACTCCAAACCAATTGAGTATATGAGTCCTACGATCCTGGGAAAATGGGTGGTGTATGAACCTATTATTGGTCAGCAAGGTATACCTTAAAACGTTTGCCTTGGTGACGATAGAGTAATAGCATGAAACCTAAGTCTAGTGTTCCCTGGCGACTACCTCCAATTATCTAACACTATATTATAGTGCACGTGATGTCGAGTCACAGAGACAAGTGGCAACGCTGACGATAGAATTCGATCAGCACTAAAAAGACAAAACAAACAAGACATTGGTTCACTACCAAGTGATCAACGATGAGCTTGCATATAGATGCTGAATGATAATAATGATATTCGTTTTCACTGAAACAATCATGGAAAATAACACTATGGAACGAATAGTGTAAGACTTTGAAAGTATTTGTGTTTTAATAAGTTTAAGCAGATAGGCACAAGAACCATAGGAAAATATTGCATTTGCCAAATTTATCTTACACTAAGCAACAAGACTAAAAGAGGAGTATAATGAAAAGGTGGGAATAGGAAACGACGTATCGGATTAGGAAATAGAATTTTAGATGAAACGAAGTGAGGATTTATCGGAAGATTAACAATGAATGTATCCGAGCCCTATCCACTGTCACTAAAAACGACTTTGAACCTGTTTTCTGTTATGGTAGAGTACAATTCGTTTACTCCCACGGCAAAGCTCGGCTTTGTAATCAAGAACTTTAAGAAGTGATATCAGATCTGTGGACTAAAAATCCGAATTATTCATTGTACAAGTGTTTGATACATAGAAAATAATCAAGTACTAGCAAACAATGCATGTTCTCCATAGCATCAAGTTAGCAGTGAAAGCTGGTACGTGTGCTTTGTTCTGTTTGGCACGCATAAGGTGTATATATATGTATCCGGTTGTTGATGTCGATTGCAAAAGTCAAAGTGTTATAAACTTCTAACTAATATATCCATATAGACAATAAATTGTTCAACGCTTGAGATGTTTATATTATTATTAATAGTATGAGTTTGATTTATTTCGTTGTTCATAACTAAAACTGAATTTTGATAAGTCTTTGTTCACTTGTATTCCACCTTGTGAGATTTGCCTCGAAATACCCATTGTCTTAAATGTTTGATAGAATAGATTGAATGTAATTAACAATGGAATCAAAAATGCATATTTCATCCTAAAAGGCATGATTAAAATGACTATTATCTCGGTAATTTATGTACGATACACATATACCAACAACTGCTGATCAAAATTCCGTTCTAAATACTAATAACGGGATAATTTAAACACCCTTATAAATAATAATTGAACAGTTATGTTTCACTATTCCATAAATAATAACAGATTAGTTAGTCATATAGTATTATTATTTTATTTATTTATTTCAACACATAGATAATGGTACAAAGAGGCACCAAATACATATGCGCCACACAAATCTCATTCGATATGTGTGAGGGCTGTGATACTGCCCGGGTGCCCAAACCGAAGCAGGTGGTTTTCTTATGGGGCCACACCCCGAGCATTCGACCTGAAGGTCTGATCCACAAGGCAGTGGAGCATCGTGAGGAGATGCAGTCCCATGGAAGCCGGTGACCAACAATTGGTTCATTCGCCATTTGTTCCCGCAGGATACTGGAGCCCATGTGCACCATTGGTTTGGAATCCGGCTAAAGCGCCGGACATTCGCTTTTCGTCCTCTCATTTTCGTAAACAACACCGGTGCCACGAGAAGGCAGTGAGTAGGACTTCCCTGGCAGAGGCTATATACGCGTGGCCGTGTGAGAGTATTTCGAGAGGGAGAGCGGACTCTCCCCACTCTCGGCCGTACCAGGGCATAGTATTAGTTTTCAACTGATCAACAGATAGAAGATAGATATACATCTTGAACTACAACAGATAAAGTAAATTGGCATCAAAACATGTGGATAAAATTCTTTTCGAATAAAATTAAAAATCCCTTGTAAGATTTTGCATTTTCACTAGGAATATTATACGAAATGTAGACACATGGTATGTAGCTAAACAAATTATATCCCATGTGTAAATTGTACAACAACGACAACTACATAAGATATTGTTATTGATACATTTAATTCAAGAATATGTCAATGTTTATAGCAAATTGTTTACAGTTAGAATAACTTGTCTGAATCTGTTTCTCTCTCCGTATATATATACAGAAAGAGACAATGGGATGGAATTCGATAATTAGGAAATAACATATACCTTAAGATAATTTTGAAAGTGTATTGTGTAGAGTTATCGAGACAAATGTTCAAAAGGACTAAGATTAACAACAGTCTTAAATGATTAGACAGTAAATGATGTACAGAACCAATTTCCTTTTCAATCGTCTATGATATTTTATTGTGTGTATTTTTATGCTTAAAATTTTGTACAAGAAGTACATTGTTTAATTACATAGAAATCTAATCCTCTAGTCAGTGAGTAGTTTTCGATAATCAAATCATTTCGGCGCATAAGTTGATAGTTCAGTTTTAGATGTTTGAAATACTTAAACTTTGCCCCGGGAGTTGAAGTATCTTCATACTGAAGAGTTATGACACTTCATCGGGAAAGCCGTTTTTATTCAGAAACCTTTTGACAACCAGAATAACAACACATATGGAAGACCAGAAATATCATTCGAATAGTGATAGAAATAAGAAGACATAAACTTAAGAAGCATGGTAAGTGGCTAGAAGTGACTGATTAGATTATGGGATCAGGAAGATTGTACATTTTTTATTTACGTGGATTTACATTAAAAAAAGTCGTATTAAATAAGTGACATCGCTCGCGATCAAGAACAATCGTATTCATTCACCAAATAGAATTGTTAATTAACGATTAAGACATTCAACTTTCAACTACAAAGTAGCAGGTTCAAAACCCAGCTCTATTAAACAAATTTAGTATGATTAGCAAGATAATATCGCTAGAAATCACACTTAAAGTATGGTTTGAAACCGAATATACGAGTTTGTACGTTCAGAAAGGGCTATTTGTTGTCTTATCTTTTTATTTTAAAGTGATTACAATTTCGTACACTTTATTCTTTAATTTAGAAAATGAGTCATTACTACTATTTCCCACTGAAGTGAACATCAACTCCAGGTACACCCAACGGACGAGTCCTAAGTAGGATGCAACACGCGTCCTGGATTCCGCTGCCAATCATCATCAATCTTTGCTTGTTTTGTAAATCTTCTCTATCAATATGATGATGTAGGGACACATAACTTTGAATGGAACCCCTGAGTTATTTGTGGAGATAGTTAGAAGAGACTTATTTCGTAACTAGCTTTTGCTACTATTCGCATTTCTTTCATTACTTCCCATAATTGGTACAATTACCATGACTGACTGCAAAATAGTTGTTCAAAAACACATGACATTGGGTTTTCCGTTTGCATTTTGAATTCCCCATAGGATGACACACTCATTATCACTCACAAATACACTGCTGTACATATGTGCTTCTTGTTCTCAGTTATCTGCTGTTATGATAATAGAACCCTAATATATTTGCTATCTACGTTTACAGATCATAGTGATATTCTCATGATATACTTTATTTGGATATACACCTTGGACGGACTATAACAATTGTGGTTGGAATTATTAACTACTTATAATTGTGTGATTACTAGACCAAAAGAAACTCGAACACGCCAATTCCTGACAGTTTAAGTAACGTTCTGTATAATTTCCTTGTGTGTATAATTTATGCTTGATATGTTAACACATTAATTTTTAGGCGTAATGACTTTATCATTATTTTTGGAATTGTTATATTCTTCGTTCACCACAATTATATTTGGTGAGCCCGACGTAGTAGATAATTGTGATGAACGAAGAATATAATAATTCCAAAAATAATGATAGAGTTATTACGCCGAAAAATTAATGTGTTAACATATCAAGTATAAATTATACATACAAAATTAAAGAACAAACATCTTGTGTAGACTTTGATAGTTCTATGGTTCGAAGCTGTGATGATTCATTGTAACTCAGTTACCAAGTGTGAAGATGTTTACACCTCATCAGTTAATCGAAACAACGTAGAACCAGGTTTATTTGTGTATCAGTTCAAGTTTTCACAATAAATTAGCATGATCAGTTGAAATTACCAAGATATATTATTACAGTAGTAGAAGCAGTAACAATATCAACAGTAGAAAATATTAAGTATAAACAATCTGTTTCGAGGAGATTGGATGAATTCAAGGAATAAAAGATAACATTCAAACTCAAAACCCAATGAAATAAAAATAGTGAATATATTTGTGGTTCTTGTGATAGATTTCGAACCACATGATTCAACGTCTCCAACCCCTGGTCGTATTTATTGTGAGGTCCTTAAACACATAAAAAATGAACCATTAAGTTATATTGATATATATTTGCAATTAGACATTGATTCAAATCAAGAAAATTT